CCTTGTTTTACTGGTATTTTCTGAAAACCATCTACATTTCTCTCTGGAAACGTTCGCAGCAGATTGTGACGTGGCTGGCATGCATGTGAACGTTTCTAAAACAAAAAGCCGTTCTCTTTCTCCTGTCCGCTGCTCTCGTCAGGTTAACAGAGAAACAGTGGAGCAGGGGGAGAAGTTTTAGTAGCTCAGAGTCGTGTTTTGCTGATGATGGAAAATCTGACGAAGAGATCAACCAGCGGATTGGAATGGTCAGTGGTATTCTGCGTCAGTTAGTCTGAACAGATGTGACCAAAGCAGATGTACTCACCTTATAAGTCGATCTTCATCTCCATATTTACCTACGATCATGACTCAGGGACCATGACTGAAAAATTTCGATCCTGGTACAAGCTGCTGAAATGCACTTTCTTAGGCGAATCGCTGGCCTGAGGCGTCTCGACATGGTCCAGAATACAGACATCCGCCAGAGCTTCGGTGTACAGTCGTTTCTTCTTCAGATTGAGAAGTCACAATTGCGACGGTTTGGGCACGTTTTGCAAATGTCTCCAGAAGGAAAGGCAAAGAAACTCTTTCTTGAGAAACCGACTGGCAGAAGACCCAGGTACGGCCAAGATTAACCTGCTGCAAATATATGGAAGGAGCCTGCTCTAAACTGCGGTTGTCTTCTGCCAAAGTTCAGACTGGCACAGGATTTGGAACATTTGAAGCACTGTCTGACGTATGTTCCTCCGCGTCCCGAAAGGAGGTGCAGTCATGGATGATGAAGTTGATGAGTCCCATATCATCCTTTTTTGTCTTTGTTTTTAAAACTGAACGTGGTGAAGTTTCACACAGCCACAGGAATATCTCAGATATAGGGCTGCATATCAAGACTGAATGTTTTAAATCATACGAAATACACCAACAACGGATTATACGTATGTCGGTTAAAGCAGATAGTTTCTAATTTAAATGCCTGCGGTTGGTTGACTGCCTCCGTTCTGGCACTGCAGAATTAGGAACGTATCGGTCAGTTCATTTTCCGCGAAGGCTGTCTGTAATTTAACCGACATATATGGCAGAAACTCTTTCACTGTTAACCCATAGCCTTGAAAAGGCGATTCTTTCTGAATGGTGAATGTCTTAATCGCAGCTTTAATATTCATTGATTGCTTATTGTTTCTTTCAGGTGTGTGCGTGTATGAGCAGGTGCTGAAGATTTAGAAGGCTTTTCCAATAATTGCGATGTTACATAATTTTGCATATTCCACAAACTATAGTTTTGAAGGTGCTCAATAAAGATGTAAGTTTGGACACTTCCGCGACGTAGTGTAGAAAAGTCACTGATTATAAAAGAGTGGTGATCCATGTTTCAGAATCACTGCGTTTGCAGCTGCGGATATCTGTTTAGGCTTCGCGTAACATCTCGCTGTTTGGTCGTTCTTTCACTCTTTAGGGAAAGGGCGCTGTCTGAAGGCGTTTCTGCCCATCATTTAACATGGCATCACCTATTTAAAACAGCTCGATATTAACTCGCTCGTATAACTTTCTTGTATGTTAGTATTGTTGCTACTGTTCGATCGTTTACAAACACAGTATCTATAGATGTTTTGCTTATGCCAACCACTGCACAGTAGTATGTTTAGGACGTCAAGGAAAAAGCCGCAAATGGCGTCAGGGAAACAAAAACAACGGTACGATAGCCGCTGAAAGTAAAACCAGTGTTGAAGATCAGGCAGCAGATGGCAGTCCTGAAAGCAGAGGTAAGTCAATTCTCTCTGTTTAAGTTCATTAGCACCAACCTGTTAATGGGGTAAGGGGCGCTTTCACAGGTGGAAGTCTCTGGGTTCTTTATGCTACTGTTTCAAATTCAGACGCGGCGTAAATTTATTTAACTGCTGATTCGCTCCAGTAAGGAATTCACCCCAAAGCGCGCTCACAAAAGATCTGCAGAGGTCACTGACTGCACTGTGGTATGTTTAGAAGATCAAGGCGCAAAGCGCAAATGGCACCAGGAAACCAGAAACGAAGGTACGGCATTTTCTCAAGCTGTGTCCCATACTGATGATCAAACAAATCATGAAAGTCCAGATATCAAAGGTAAGTTCATTTTACTGGGTTCGTCGCTGTTAACAGCGACGTTTTTATAATGAGACCGAGATCCAAAGTTTCATCGTTTGGCTTTGCGTTTTATAGATGCGGGTTAGAACTCAAGCACTTCGGAAATATTTCCTTCTGCTTATTAACGGCAAATTTGTAATATTTTAGTGCATCAACACATTATATCTCCATATGAATGAACAGAAGTGGTGCGAAATGTCTTGTTTCTTCCCCAACCCCGTATGTCATCAAAAAAACTAAAAATTACATCCTGCTTCATTTTGCACATAGCATACTCTAAAATTCCTGTTTGCATGATTCCATATCTTGCTCACCAGAAGTTGACTAATCGTTTGGGCTCATCGATTTCTGATGGACTCGTTTGAATACTCATGGTTACGAAATCTATTGAAAAGGAAGTGAAGATTCTCAGTAAAATTCCGTAAGGCTCCAAGGGAACGATATCTACCGTGGGAGCTTGCAATCGGAAATTAGAACATATCCTCTACTCAGCGGAAGAGAATAGGAGCTAGTTGATGACGCCACAGGGTACAAACTCGATATAGTTGAACTCTCGTCAGCGGAGCGTGAAGGCTCTGGAATTCTCATTCTCAGCGTGTGAAAGCTCTTCAGCTCAGGTGTCGATATCACGACGCGCACTCTGATAGAACCCTACCTGGCTGACAGAATCATTGAATGGAAGTCTGGTAGCGAAAAAGTGGCAATCTTTCGGCTAAAGCTTTGACCTTGTTACAGGTTTGGGAGCCCACTTTGGAAGGAGAATGTAAATTATTCCTGGACGACGTGAAAGATGCTCTGTACAAAGTGCCGACTACGGAATCCATCATTTCAATGGCCGAGTTAAATGCGCATGTCGCAGCAGACACTAAAAGTGGAACGGGTTTGATTAGAAAGAACTGCCATAGCGACTTCAACGATAAGGGCATGAAGTTGCTGTGGTTTTGTGCAAACAACGAACTCTCTGTTCTGAACACCTTCAAGCATCAAAGCGTGCATCAGCATACCTGGTACAAATAAGCTTTTGCACCGAAGTCATGATCGATTTGATAATCATATCGTCTGACTTGAGACGCTCTGTAAT